CAGATGCCACACAGAGCTTTTGGATTCCTTCACTGACAGAATGATCTTCAGGTGGGATTATTTTTCTCCAGCTCCCTGTTTTCTCCTTGCTACCAAACCCATCAATACAATAAAGAAGTTCTTTATCTTCATGCAACGTTCTATTTACAGTGAATAACTGACCATCTGCTTTAGTGTAACCTCTAGTTCTATAGGAGGCCTCCTTGCATTATAAATAAGGATTTCATAGCTGTACAGGAAGGGAGCACAATCATGGAAAACAGAAAGAGAGATACAACGGTACACAGAGACACAGAAAATGAACAGATAAACACAGAACCAGAGACATTTCCTGACTTAAAATCTTAAAGATTTCAGGGTGGGGCTGTGGGGTGATGTGCTGATTGATGTTATTCTTTTACAGAAAACATTACCCAGACTCTAAAGAATGATCCAGGATTAATTCGACTAAAGTAAACATTTGAAATTAGCTCTTTAGTTTCAAGCTTTAACCATGCAGTGACAATGCAAACAAATGCTTCACTGAAAATTACACTTTTACTTCAGTGATAATTACGTACTAGAATATTATTGTACACTGATGATTGTACACTAAAGTTCCATATCTATTGATTTGAAAATAATTTTGGTTAGATACAAATACTAAAAATTTTTTTGCAAAACTTGAATTTGGGGGGTAAAAGGGGAAAATTTTATATGTTTTTAATTCACAGGGTAAGAATAAGTATAATTATGTATTTATTTCCTTACCTAATGCTCTGGATTGTACTTAGCTCTATCTCAAAATAGTGATAACATTATTAAATATAAAGAAGACTCACAAAATGCCAACCACAATTCAAAATATTATCTTAAGGCATCCAATTCTTTGGTTGGGGTGGGGGGCGCCACAATTGGCTGTGCTCACTGCTTATTATTACAGGATCTGAGCTCACTGGTCACTCCTGGTATAGCTTGAAGGACCAAAGATGGGTCAGAGAAGGAATCTGGTTGGCTGAATTCAAGGCAAAAGCCCAATCTGCTGTCCTCTTTCTACAACCAAAATACATCCATTTCGTCTTCCTTCCTTCCTTCCTTCCTTCCTTCCTTCCTTCCTTCCTTCCTTCCTTCCTTCCTTCCTTCCTTCCCTCCTTCCCTCCCTCCCTCCCTCCCTCCCTCCCTTCCTTTCTCTTTGTAACACAACTGGTGATTCCCAGGGTTTAATCTCAGTTCTGAACTCAGGATTAACCCCTGGATGTGCGTGGGAAACCATATGGGATACTGGGGACCCAACCCAGGTTAGCTGCACACAGGTCAAGCACAGTACCAATTGTACTATCACTCTGGCCCCAATACATTCATTTCTTAATAACAGCTCTTCGAGGAATAAATATTTGCTCCTATAGATGAAAAGTAGGTTTAAATTACTATTAAACCCTTTGGGAAAGAAATAAATGTATTTTATTTCATATGATGTTTGCAGCTAGAACAATTGTCTGACTTGTGATAAATTATTTTTGTTAAATCCCAAAGAATTCTCCAGCAGGAAAAATAGGTAGAAAAAATGGGACTTTATTCACTGATCAGTAAGATACACAAATTTCATCTAAAGAAACTGACTCTCTCTTGTCTCTAAGACGAGAATTCAAAAAGTGTCCTTCCTATCTAATTTTCATAAATAACTATACAATTCAGTCAAATTCCTTTATCACTTGGTGCATTGATTTTTTACCATAAAGTTAAATTATAATGATTATATGATAACCAAGATTAAATCCATGAAATCTTTGGGAGGATTAATTGCACCTTCACATCTAGAATTTATATTGAAAATTTATTTCACTATGACCGAAAAAGCACATAAAGACAGGCCTCTCACGGATAGTAAGGAGATGCTGCTATTAGGGCATGGTTTAAAAACAAGAAGAGTTCTACAAATTATGCCATCCAAGTTTTGTTTGGGAGTTTAGTTTATTTTGTTGTTAGTGTTTCTTTGAGGTATACACACTGTGGTGCTCAGAGCTTACTCCTGGTTCTGCACACAAGGATCACTCCTGGCTGTATGCATGCAGGACAAACCCCTATGTGCTGTAGTATTGCTCTAGCATCTCCATTTCAACTTTTCTAGTGTTCCTTTAAGCCAGGTTTGATGAACTGTCAAAACAGGTTACTGTGTTTCAGCATGATCAAAGGTAAACCCTCCTCTATTTATGATGAAACTTGGTTCCAAAGGCACTGTGTAAAAGCCTTTAAAAGGCACAAATAGTATCACAAAAGTAAAGGGAGGGCCTTTGACAGAAAGCTAAAGAAAGTGGTTTGAATTTTTCCCAAAGCCAAGTTTTAAAAGCCTAGGCAAAGTAATAAGGATAAAGCTTACATGTATGCATTTGCTATATTATTTAGTTTGATTTGTTTCAGAATCAAGATAATATACAATAAGAGATACTTATTTTAGTTTTTAGTTTCAATACCTATATAGACCAATTTAAACTTTAAATATGTTCTATTACTCTATTACAGGGTTTTAAAGTACTATGAAAGTTATTTGAAGAGGTTAAATGTGTGTGTGTGTGTGTGTGTGTGTATGTGTGTGTGTGTGTGTGTGTGTGTGTGCATCTTTGATTTAGGTCAAAAACCAAGACTCATGACCTTGATTCAGCTATGCTTGAGGGGTACTGAAATAAATAATAGGAGCCTTTTTTTACACTGACTATCCCTGTCTATTTTTAACTTTATTTTTAACTTTACTTTCTTCTAACAAGGGTAATTTTAGACCCTACTTTTGTAACAGGAATTGTGTCATGCATGATATATGTACCTATAAGAAGTATACGTGCCTGTATTTACATCCCATGTATTAACATCAAATGAAACAGCTCTCACACTTAGCTAATTTCTGGTTGTAATAAAAATGAAATCACTGAGGCAGATAGCATAATGAAAATAATTAAGCATGTTTAGGTACTTCTTGTTGGTATACATTATACTAGATTCTTTAGTGTTATGTACCCTTGAAATAATCTTATGAATAAGATTGTAACACCAAAAATCTTAATTGCAATAATTTTATATAAATAATTAAAACTTAGAGTTATATAAATCAAAGGATGGAGATAATTAAGGCACTTGCCTTGTATACAGCATAGGTAGGTTTGATCCCCAGAACATAAATAATGCCTTAAGCATAGTTATGGGGCTGGAGCGATAGCACAGCAGGTAGGGCGTTTGTCTTGCACACGGCCAGCCCGGGTTCAATTCCCAGCATCCCATATGGTCCCCCGAGCATAGTTATGGTAATCCCTGAGAAACACTGGGTGTGCTAGACCCACAACAAACTAACAAACAAAAAATAAATAAATAAACCTTATTTTATCATTCCAAATCACAAAAGAGTACATTATTCACAGGTATATAAATGTGTTAGTGCAGCATGAATATAAGGATCAAAGGGAAAAATTGAGATTTTTGAACAAATTTACAGCTTATGAAAAGTTGTATTTTACTTTTATATTTTTAAAATCATGACCTCATAGTGATTTTATTTTTAAAAGTCTTATATGAGAACCTAAGGAAAAAGTTTAAAATATAATGAGGTTTTTGTTTTGTAATAAGAAGATAAGGCAATTCATATTGAAAGTTAGAAAAACAGGCAAATTTAGAATTGCATTGTTGATGCAATGAATTTCTACAATCAACTAAAACCCAAAAGTGAGGCTAAAAATTCATTTCAGTTTCCTACATTGTAATATTTAGAGACCTTTAAAGCATTAGGGAATATGAGTTGTATTTTCTATAATGATTATCAACATAAATCATTTTCCTTTCCTTTCTTTTTCTTTTTAGAATACTGGTTTTAAATAACAGTAGCAAACCACTTAAACAAATAGCATCCTCAAGTTCTAATGAACTTTAAAGATTCTTTTTTTATTGGCATAACTTTGGTTAACAAAACTATACATTCATGGGAATAAATTTACACCTCAAAATGTATTAAATGATTTTCATCTTAAAGCAATACTAAATTGTGAAGAAAACATAAATTTGAACAGTAACCTGTTAGTATGTAGAGACAGTCATTGAACATTACAACAAATTTTATAGAATTTAATTATTTTCCTTAATTTTAAATAATACTTTATAAAATGTTGAAAGACACTGTCCTATGTTTCTTATCAATAACAATATATCAAAATAAAGAGGCTATGGAAGACAATTGTAAAATACTATTAGAAAATTTATGTAAAATTACCTTTGTATATGTTCATTTTCATTTTTTTTCATTTCATCATCCTGTTAATCGTCGATTGCCTCGAGCAGGCCCCAGTAACGTCTCTTTCATCCTAGCCCTGAGATTATATTCACGGCTCTTTAGGAGAATGAGACCTATCATTGTTACTGGTATTTGGCATATTTGGTAGGCCACGGGGAGTTTGCCAGACTCTGCCCTGTGGGCAGGCTACATTCAATAGCCTGCAAGTTTGTCCAAAGTATATGTTCATATCATTTGAATAGTTTGCTTTTTTTTTTATGGAAAGGTAAAATATACGACAGCATCATTGTCCCTTTAAGGTAAAATTATAGTTTCTATTCTGTATATTAAATTTTTAGCAAAGTACTAAACACTCGGATAAAAATAGATTTCATTCAGAAAAGCAGGTATCTTTCATGTTTTCTTTCAAATGTACATAGTCATTATCATTCATGAGTAAAACTAATTAAAACAAAACCTAATAATAAATTATATCACATTTCAACTGATTTTCCATAATTGTGATAGAAAAAATATGCAAAAGTCATTTAAAGAAATCAAATGACTTTGGTTATATATACATTTCAATAGATATTTTAAGAAATCAAAATTGGTGTAATTTACTGCAGCTAAAGAACTCATACATTCTTTAGCTTGTTCAATGAACATAAGGCTGACAATAGCTGCAAAATAATATAGTAAAGACTTGTATATCTAGAGTAAAGAAGTGAAAAAACATGCAGAATGACTAATAATTAAATTAAAGTCTTACCATGAACTATCGGTGCTAAGAGCATCATGAAGACTAGTATCTGTGGTGGCCACATGGTTGTATACTTAGAAGAAAAAAAAACCTCAATGGTGAGCGTTCCAACTGAGAAAGAAACAACTGTCTTTCTGGTTGTCTTCTTACTTCAAGATTGATGAATTAAAAAAAAATATTCCTCAACAACAGAAAACAGCAATATTCCAAATGTGAATCCTGTAACAAACAGCATAAAAGGAATTATTAAATAAAGGTATTTCAATTTTAATTCTGTGAAAGTTTACTTTTGAGCTGTAACATCTGTATATTCCCCCCAACTTCCTCATTTTAAGAAAAAAGGCATTACATTATAAAGTTGAGTAAGTAATCTAAAGAGTATTAATCATGCACATATCACTACTGTGTTTATTTCTCAGCCCTTATATGGACTAAAGGAAAAATCAGACAGCCTCACAGGAAAAATTAATATAACTACGTCTAAATAGTTGTATAATGCTTCTATACTTTCTATAATCAACATGAACTAATAAAGTTATTTTATTTCTATAATTTTGTTTTATATAGCATCCATCACGGAGAGCCTGGCAAGCTACCCTGGCGTACTAGATATACCAAAAACAGGAACAATAACGGATCTCATTCCCCTGACCCTGAAAGTGCTTCCAATACGTTGGGAAAGACCAGTAAGGAGAGGCTGCTAAAATCTGAGTTCTGGAACCGGTGGAGATATTACTGGCTCCCGCTCGAGTAAACCGATGAACAATGGGATGGCAGTGATACAGTGATACAGTGATAACATCCATGAATTCCAAAGTTATTATTGGTTTTGGAGCATAAAGTATTTCAACACCAACCACTTCCTTAGTCTCCACTCCCTTCCACCAATGGCCTTTATTTTCCTCCCACTCAACAGCATGCCTTTATGAAACACAATTTCTGATAACTTTTGCTACCTGGTTTACAGTACTTTTACGGATCGAGTTTGATGCATAACATGTTACCACCACTCAGAATAAAACAAATACAAATATCTTATTACTTTCATTCAAGGCCCATTGGTTTTATACAGAAATTATTTCACACAAAAACTCCATTAAGTTTTCTCAGTATCTTTGTTTTTAGATCTTCTATGTTAATTAGGTTTCCTCAGCCATAATTCATTCATTCATAGGTTTACTGCACACCAATTCAAATGCCAAGAAATGGACTAAACACAGAAGAAAGTATATAACAAAACATGCAACCGACGCTAAATTTACATACTAGTGATCAGAAATCGCGCTTAAAATTGTTAAACATCTATGAAACACATTAAAAACATTAAGCATAAAAGGAGGCATTTTACTAAACAAAACTGCATAAATATATCTTAGGTGAGAAAATACTGAAGTGCTGTAACCTACATTTTGAAAATGTTGTCTTTCACATTCAGAAACTTTAATACCATTCAATCAACTAGAATTCGAATTTCCCCTCCTTTTCTCGTCTGCCTTCCTTCTCTTCCCTTACCTTCTGTTTCTTTATATCCTTCCTTCCTTCCTTCCTTCCTTCCTTCCTTCCTTCCTTCCTTCCTTCCTTCCTTCCTTCCTTCTTCCCTCCCTCCTTCCCTCCCTCCCTCCTGCCTGCCTGCCTGCCTTCCTGCCTTCCTGCCTTCCCATATTTATCTTCCAATTCATTTTGGAAGATAAGGGGTGCTTCACAGTGGACACTATTAGGGGCTTACTCCTAGCTGTGTTCAGTTATCTCTTCTGGAGGATTCAGTGAACCATATGTTGTTCCTGGGATCAAACCCTTATGAACTGCTTGCAAGGTAAGCACCTACCTGCTATACCATCTCACTCAAACTATCTTCAATAATTTTGAGAAAAAATTTAAATTTTCTTCTGAAGAACATAACTTCAAAACTGCTAAAGTTTAATAAAGAATTATAAATGATCTCTGTTTTGTACAATACTGAAATTTTTCTGAAATAACTAGTTGACTATAAAGCAAAATTATCCAGATTTTTAAAAATTTCTGCCAGTTACTTTTTTTTTTTTTTGGTTTTTGGGTCACACCTGGTGATTCACAGGGGCTACTCCTGGCACATACACTCAGGAATTACTCCTGACAGTGCTCGGGGGACCATATGGGATGCTGGAAATCAAACCCGGGTTGGCTGCATGCAAGGCAAATGCCCTACTTGCTATGCTATTGCTCCAGCCCCCAGCTACTTTTTTCATGGTAAGAATACAAATTTTGTACCGAGTTCGATTCCCAACATCCTATATGATCCCCTGAGCACCGCCAAGAGTGATTCCTGAGTTCAAAGTCAGGAGTAACCCCAGAGCATCGCCAGGTGTGAACCAAAAATAAGCAAAAATATATATATGCAAATTTTGGGACAAGATTATATATGTCAACAACCTAGTAGTAGTAAGGTCTCCATAACTCTGACTAAATCATGAATACATTAATGTGTTGATTTCTTACCTAATAATGCAGGGATAATGGTATTATTTACTTAATATGACCATATTAACAGCAAAAGGAACCAAAATTTAATTTTATATTATATAAAATACATAAAATATATACATAGTCCTTCTGTCTAATAACAAATAGTATAGCACTGTAGCACTGTCCTCCCATTGTTCATAGATTTGCTCTAGCAGGCACCAGCAACTTCTCCATTGTGAGACTTATTGTTACTGTTTTTGGCATATCGAATACGCCATGGGAAGCTTGCCAGGCTCTGCCATGTGAGCAGGATACTCTCAGTAGCTTGCCAGGCTCTCTGAGAGGGTCAGAGGAATCGAACCTGGGTAGGCCACGTGCAAGATAAACACCCTTCCTGCTGTGCTATGGCTGCAGCCCAACAAATAGCATATGCTTCAAAATTTACTATACATTTTAGTAGTTTTAAATTTTGTCCTCCTGGTCTTTTATATGCAGATGTGTAAGTAGCCAGATCATTCAGAGGTTTAATTAAAATCGGAGCATTTATGTGACTTAGAATCCCGCAATTCCACTAATACTTAGTTCTCAGAAAAATACTCACAAATATCTACCTGGGGATATATACAAAAAATAATTCACAGCAACACCTAGTTTTAGGAAACTAAAACAAAACAAAACAAAACAAAAAATCAGCTATAGGACACTGGAGTGAATCCTAAAGTGATTGGATCCTAAAGTGATTGGATCCATAAAGTACAAAACCCAATTCATAATGAACATGTCATCAAACTCTACATAGATAGAAATCCACTCAATCTGGTGGCAAATACATATGTGCAACCCGTAGGGGTATCCCTGCTGATAAAGTATTTCAAAATTCGCCAGATATTACAGAGCATAGGCATCTGTCTTGTGTATGGCTAACACTAGTTTAATCCCTGGCATAGCAGATGGTGTCCAGAGCACCACCAGGAGTGATCACAGAGCACGGAGCCAGGATTAAGTCCTGAGCACAGATGGGTTTGGCACACACAAATATATACTAATGATATAAAGTATTTAAAACATCAGTGATGCATAAGTACTGCTAGGGATCTCTTCTGAGTAAATAGGCAGGAACAGACTCTGAGAACTGATAGGCGTGGTCCAAACACCATTCTCATCAAAGTGAGTCTATTTCAAAATGCACATCCTTGTCCAAGTTATTTAGACCACTCTTCTGTTCAATGCTCAATACTAATAGTTTGGGAAGGGTGGGGCTACAAGTCAAAAGTTGATCACTGTTTTAAAACCATTCAAGTATAGAAACTAAAAGCAAAACTATTTACTAATTATAGGTACAGTACAAAGTGAAATATTTCTTACTTTAGATGTTCTAAAAGGTAAAAATTGGTTTATATTCTTTTTGTTTTTAGTAATAAGATAGGTATATAAAATCATACTGATCTAGTAAAGGTATGCTTTTAACACAAAAATATGCTTAGGCCATTGATGAGACCAGCTTCGAAAGCTGCTGATTTTATTTTGAAGAAACATTCACTTTAAATTTGGATTATTTTTCATACAATCTTCTCAAATCATGTAAGCTTTATCTTACTTTCCCCCCTGCCCCCCGCAATCCAATTAGAGTTTGATATTGGAATCTGAAAGCTACTTGGAATTCTAATGTTGATCTACCTACTCTAAATATTCCTGTAAGACAGCCTCAATGGAAAGCAATATGGAGAAATATGGAGATTTCTTTATGAAATAAAAATGTAAATTCCATATTAACCAGTAATACGATTTCTAAGCAGCTTGGTGAAGAAAATGAAAACACTTATTTGAAAGAATAATTTCACACCTATGTTATAGCAGCAGTGTTCACAAAAGCCAAAAAAGCAAACTCTAAACTCCTTTCAATAGAGACATGGATAAGAAGCTGGCATACATATACACTTGGAGGAAAAATATTTTGTCTTGAGAAAAAGATGAAATAATGCCTTTTTTGGGATAAAAGAAAGGGATTTTGAGGTGATAATGCTAGTAAGTAAAATAGAAAGCAAGTGATAGACAATTACAGAATGGGTTTACATATCTTTGGAATCTGGTTAACAAAAAGGAAACTGTTGACAAGAACAATGAACACATTTTCACAGTGGAAACTGAGGTAGACACAAGATATAAGATGGGGATTGGGAGGGGAAGTTTCTTTGTGATGCTGGAATGCCACTGGAATGCCACTGGAACCTTCAGTGGTGGGGGGAATGGTGAGAATTATGCACCTATAGAGATATGGGTCTAAACTCTTGACATTCCATATCATAAACCAATGAGAAATGACAATAATTTAAAAATTAATTTGTTTTTCAACTATGTACTTTGAAGCATTTAAAATACTGCTTGATATATTTTAACAGCTCAAATTATTTAAATACATAAAGTTCACTTTCAGTACTGTCTTTTAAGAATGAAAAGGTAAATATTTATAATGGATGCACTTCAAAAAACATAAGCCTCCATATTGATACCAAATATGTGAATAACCATTCTGAAGTTAACTTGTATAAATGATCTTCAGTTTGAAATAAAGAGCCTGAGTTAATACAGTGATTAACTAAAATAGAGGTATTAACTGAATCATTAAATTAATTAACTAGTATTTTGATGGTACCTATTATGACACCACACAAAAATAATGCAGCCTTTGAAATTTCATAATACAATACTTTTGACAGGTTTCCAAACTTGCATAATACTGCTAGCAGTCATTATGCAGTTCAAAATCAAATATTAAT